GTGGGAACGCTCTAGTCCGGCTATATCAGGACTCCAGAGAAAATAGACTCGACCAGCATTTAGCGACAATCAGTACGAAAGGAAAATCCTCAGGCAGCAGCCTAAGCCATACGCATAAAGTCGGAAGACCTTCGTGGATGATGGATGCAAGGAAACGAATATAATGTGAGAAGTGGTGGAATCCGCACAGTAGACGTAATGACAAATCGTATAAAAATGTATATGCACATACATATGCATATATATATCCCGCATATGTATATATTTGCTGTTGAAAACCGGCTTTAATCTAACATCAGCAATAGCAGTCGAAATGTCGTGGATGTCCTATGTGTTATATTTATACTATATCGTATATTGGGGCAGACTTCAGGTAGGCTGCCCACAGGAATCGAGCCAGTGCTGCTATCTTCCCAGACAAGTCTGCTACCAATTTGCCGACCTCCGAGCGAAAGAAGGCTTGGGGGCCATGGGCGCGGTGATCGATTCCACGAGTGTGTTGCAGAGGCACCACCGACCCACTGCGCCACATACGCCTTGACGGATACGGTAACACTACGTAATTCTGAATTGGAAAGCCTATTTATATCTTCAGTTGCTTTCCTTATCTACCGCACGCCGTTCATTGGTATTTTCCTTCCTCCACGAATTGCCGCCTACTAGTACCTTATTCCACCCGCATACACTCATTTGTGTAGTGATTTTGAACTTGGCGGAATGTCTATATAATTGCGAAAACGTCCTCTTGAATACGAGAACGAGTCGGATGACGAGTCTATTAACTTACTCCTTAAGATTTCTGAACAGTAAGAAATTTTGATGGTCGCTTAATCTTCACTATTTTTAACATATTCCTTAGTCGTGAAACTTCCTTACTGGACTGGATAAATCAAAGAAATCATGGTCGTGGCTTCGCTTCGCAAATGTTAAAACCTAAATTTGTATAGAGAATTCCTACCTCACGGCCAGATTCTGGATGGGTTAAGCCTTTTCTTAGACATATACAATATCCTTAGAGAAAATGTATGCAAATGGCTTTGGAGTAAAACGTAATAAATTGCCGCGACCATCTACCTAATTACGGAGTGAAGATGATCAACTAATGACCAGTAGGTGCAAGAGGATCATAAGTACGAATCGCATAAGTAGCAACATCTTTCGGTAGTCAATGACAGCAAACGGAGATCCACACTTTCATCACTCTTTGACGACAACAAGAACTCTCCGAATGGTTTTGATTCAGTGGTCAGACTGCTCCCAGGTCTACGTGATTTAGTTTCCTGACCCTTTGTTTGTAATATTCCAAGTAATTGATCGTCGTTTATTACAGTTTTATCTATGAGTCTTGCTATATTTATAGCATTCACATGAAAGCGGACGCTAAAATCCTTTGTCAAAATCACGAACAATGGTTCCGATCTTTTTCTTTCACTAAATTCCTTACACTGCTAAGATCCCGACTTCTTACCATGTGAGACGAGTGCATTGTCTAAACGAATCAAACTTCACTCATTAAGCAAAGCATTCATTAACGTTATCAGTTGTTTAAGCAATGCTTGAATGACACAATATAAACAGTATCAGCTATCGATACCGATTCTTTTCCGTCGGTAATCAATATCTGTATTTTATATGTTGACTACGTTCTCGATCATGGACGTGGACGATCTTTTCTTTCTTTTCTTAAATCTTTTAAATCTTTTAAAAGCTTAACTGTTTGATAACTATGCCTATACTTGTTGATGTGACACCAATCGGCCAGTTTGCGACAACGCCATTTTTGTTTTCCTGCCGATGGATGTATAACTTAACATCAGGATCAACATCGAGTGGTTTTTTAAAACATAACTTTAAATTGCAGCGTCTAGTGCAGAGATAAGAGATGCCATGTAATACATACCTGCTCATTGTTTCGATCCTGTTGCCAAGGCCCACTAAGTCTTCCATCCCTCTAAGGTGTTAAATTTGTTCCAGAGTTTCCTAATGGGATAGCAGCCCTGACTCTATGCATTGATATGGGCCACCGCAAGCCATTGTAAAAGCCAGATATGCATTCATTCATTTCCAACGATGATTAATGAAATCGAATGCATGACGCACTCCTCAGCGATAGATCACCGACGAGAGCTTTATCCCTTATCCAAAAGGGATTCGTATTCTCGATGTGGCGTCTTCTTTGTTCACACACCGTTTTGTTCGTTATAAGTCTTCGAGACGTTTCTTGGAGACCAGCTACAAAGTCTTACATGAAGGAGTCCGGTGTTTCTATCAGGAAGCCTAGCTAGGAGTGAACCAATACCAAGATTGACCACCATCCTGGTATCAAGCTAATCGTAGTGGTAAATCTCCCTCTTATCCACAAGGGCGGCGACTGCGTGGAATGGTGACGACGTGGAGCAGACTTTGGCCGGGCTGATTTCGAAACTTCAAGGAACCACAATGGCTAAACCAGCAAAACTCCGAAAAAATGGAGATTATGCTGCGGACCGAACAACCAGTGAGGACGGGCCATCCAAGTATCCATGTAAGTATTTTGTATATATTTGTATCATATCGTAGATATTCTGTGGTGAGTATTCATATTTATGCTTATTTAGTTTATTCATCGTTTTAGAACTAAATCCAAACTGAAAGAGCTTTAATAGATAGGCAACTTGAAAGGCGAATAAGCAACATTTCAAGCCTGTTTTCTTGGAAATGTCGCAGAAAGCATTTGATTCCTTGTAAACGCACTTTTTTGGATTTCAGTGGTTCTCCCATCATTTGATATTGGTGTAAATCTTAAATACTATGTGATTCCCCACTGCGTAGGCGTGCAAATCTGTGCAAATCATGGCGAATGTGTCAAGGATTTCTTTCCATAGTTCGTGACTCCACTGGAAAATCCTCCTAGGTGGTGTTTAGGAGTCGTTGGTGGGTCGATCTGCTTTAGAAATGCAAAAGCGGAATGAAACATTACGGTTATATCATGCTTGCAAGGAGTTTATGGATATTCTTTCTGAGGTCAACTTGTCATCGCTTAAAAAGGTCTCTTCTCCACTTCCACCGAATGCTTATAGGAAAATGTTCTCCGAACCATATTGAGGTCATAAACTTTTCTAGTCGCATTTTTCATCTAGCAGAATGCCATCAGATCCATTTCACCGAGTTCCGAGCTCACCAAGTTGATGATAAACTACAATGTTATATGATGCAGGCGGTTTCGATGATTTATCGCTACAACAGGAAGTACGCCTCCTCGTCCGTCATCTGCTCTTGCTAAATATCTTCCTGCACTAAGTCGATGTGGACAATTCCTCTTCTGCATTGTTCACTTGAGTTCTTTCCCTACAGGAATTTACCCTAAATACCAAGTGCTACAAAGATTTTTGCTTCGATGGTCTCAATAATGCCGACATAAAGTGAAAAACCGAGTGAAATGGTTGCAAATAACATATAGGACGTGTGATTGTAAATATTGATTATAGTGATTGTAAGTTATATTTCCAGTGCGTTAAATAAGATATAAGGTCGTAAAGAGAAAAATACAGCGTATAAAACATACTAGTTGTAGACAATGTTAGGTATAAAATGATAAAAGATAAAGATCTCGGCGTTGATCAATCCCTCAGGAAGACGTCATGCATTCGACTTCATTAAGCATCGTTTGGTGATCGATATGTGATCGAATACACACCTGGCCTTTACAATGACTCGCGGTTGCCTACCGATGTATGGAGCCAGTGCTGCCATCCTCCCAAACAAATCTAATTCCAATATGCCGATCATGGAATGACGGAGGGCCTGGTGAGCGTGTGGCGCTGGAATCGATCCCGTATATATTGCAAGGCGCCTTCGACCATTGAGCCGTTAGCGTCCTAGTATTGGGTATACACAAGGCAAATTGTATATAAAGGCATGAATAAGACATACTATGGGAGGGACACATTGGTGAACACATATTTCGTTAACAGCTGGTAGTTCTTGTAGCTACTACACAGTTAAATCACAGTTCTCATCAAAGTTGTTGTTTCTAGATAGAAATGGAAGAAATAGAAAATCTGAAAAGGATTAATTATTGCGGATCTTATGAGAATCTGGGAGAACAGTTCCATCTGTAAAAATAAAGTACCGAAAAAGAAAGTTATACCCGTCCGACAACTTCGAAATGATCGGCATAAATATAACTCGTCACTAGAATACAAACACCTGGACAAGGTTAAATGTAGTCTAATACCACACCTACTAAAGACTAGACGTCGTTATAGAAGCAAGTAGTTTCAACACAATAGTATACACATCGACGGCTGTAATACGTGAACGAGATGGGAGCATTTGCACTCTACTATCCTTTGGAATAACTAGGGCACAACCCGAAAACTACCTCAGACCCGGGCGAAAACAGCAACTTGAAACCTAGTAACTAGGACTTAGTATACCTGATAGTGACGTGCCATAAATTCGTCGACTCAACCGCATTCGATCAATCCTACACATGAATGAGTGCATAACTTGACTGTATAATCAGTTGTGGTGGCCTAGCAAGGTACCTTGGCAACGTTGTTATACTATCGTATAAGTCTGATAGCGATTTCCCAACCTAGGAAGAATAGGGGATGGGACTTGGTTCACTTAGTGCAGGATATTGAACCAAGGATTATATGAACCGTGGAGCACCATTTGCGACTCTACGCACCCACGATGTTACCTAGATTGATTCAGCACGATTTCCATAATGTGTAAGAATGGGCTCCAATCTCCAACATCTTAGGGTGAAAAGAGGAAAGTCTTTACTGAAAACATCAACAAAGAACATCTTGAGTCAACAAATGAAAGTCTCAGTCAAAGAATTCTATAAAAACAAAAAGATTTCTTCGTTCGTTCATTAACTACTAAGGATATGTTCACAAGAGAGTGGTAAACGTTAAAAGAAAAAAGAAGAAAAAAGAAACAAAACAAGAAAAATGTTTGAGTCACAGCCCTTCATACGTACATAAATTAAAGCATTCGACTACTAAAAATTAAGTGCTCAAAATAAGCTCATCCAGCATGCGTTCTAATCTCGGTAGAGCATCGTAGAAGAACTCAAAGAGGTCAGCATCGCTCATACTTTCAGCCAGACCAGTTAGAAACAAATTAAACTCGTGATTTTTCGATACAATCTGCAATACAACATAGGCACATAGCAAAATCTCAGCAATGACAGCACTTTCATATTTGTAAAAAAGATGCAAAAGTCGAAAAGCAAGAATACGACGTGTTCCTAGGAGCAGATTACAAAATAGGACCATATTGTAAAAAAATTAGGCCTATACAAGCCATCCGATGCAAACTTGCCTGCTGAATTTCGTTCACAATATTCTCGGCTTCGACCACTTCGAAGTGTTCCTCTTGTGATTTCAACGCCTCCAAGTTCTCAATCTCCTCCTACAATTTAGAATAGTAAACGTATTTTAGGCCTAATAGATTGAACTCCATAAAAAAGCATCATGTAATTCTATTTATTCTATAAATAAAGGATAAAGCTCTCGGCTTTGATTTATCCCGAGGGATACGCCATGGATTCGACTTCATTAAACACCGTTTCGAGGTGATTGAATGCATATCTGGCCTTAACAATTTCTCGCCGCGGCCTACTGATCGAGCCAGTGTTGCTATCCTCCCAGACAAGTCTGGTACCAATTTGCCGACCCCGGCTGGATTGAAGGCTTGGTGGGTCAAGGTCACGGGGACCATGTGTAGTGCAAGGAGCCTCCGAGCACTGCGCCACACTTCATTCTATACAAAGCATTAGTTACAGATCCCGCCATTTCATCAAACAAACAAGGGAAAAACAAACTTTAAACGCTTCATACGAGTCATAAAAAGAAGCTCTCATCTATGTAATGTGAGTTAAACAAAACAATATGATTGAGTAACCACATGAATTAAGATAAAACAACACACCTCTAATGTAACCAAGGAGTTGTCCATTTCCGCATATTCGCAAACACGCTCTCCAATTTCATTCAAAACAGCGGCAGCTGTCTGACGAAGGGTAAGTGCCTACAAAATCTAGTGCGTTTTTCCATAGATCTTCGGTATCCAATTTACCCAAACGTAGTACTATCCGGTTCACTTCTCCATATGCTAAAACTTGACGGCCCAATAATATTTAATCTATAGACTATTTCACAGATTATAAAAATTGGTATGAACTATGACTTCAAGGTCTCTACTAGTAGAACACCTGCCTACAGTTAAAGACACCCTCAATAAAACTGAACTGGTTTAAAGAGGAACACGCGCGAAAGAAACTTCTTCAGGGTTAACACGGGTTTAGAATGGCATTTATGACTATCAAAGTGACATGTAATGATTAACGAACTTTACCGCACTAATCTATGATAAGTTATGCAAAGCAACCAGATTGCTTGACTGCAGCAGAAACAAAAGCGCGCTCTAAACCAAGCAGTGTTCCTAAGCAAAATCTTGTAAGGAAAAAATTTGAAGCACCGAGAAATCCTCCACTTCTATGGTATTGAGTGATTAAAAATTACTTTCGTCATTAAAATGAAAAGGAAATAACTATGAGGAATTGGTAAACTTGAGATAAAAGTACTACTAGGAATCAGTCAGACAAATAAAAGTAATCCCACACATCAACGCGAGCAAATGCCGTACCTTTTCTTCCAAAACTTTTTCGCCAAACTCCACTTCAACCAAGGTTTCTTCGCACTGAAAGAATGATCAGAATTGATCGAGGAAAGTGAAATAACATCAGCTATGCTGTTTGAGTAGCTGTACCAGGAGGGCCAATTAATACCCAGTTATTACAAAATCTTTTCTATTCACAGACTTAATTGGATGTGGATGTCTAGAGTGAAATCAATAGCCAAACCCTCAGCAATCCCTTTACCTTATACAATCGCTCGAAAAGCTCTGAATGTTTGGCTTTCTTTGCGTTCACGAGCTGCTCTTGCGTACGACGCTTACGAAGGACGGGCTGTAGAAAATACACTAGCATTAGTGTACGAAGAGCTTAGCACCAACATTTACCGAACGTGATAGAACTATGTTCGGAAAACTTTTACTAGTAAACTGATATCTATTAAAAGCGAAATCCGACTACAAAACTCTGTTGATTTCACCAAGACTTTTAGAATAACACTTAGTACCTTATGCTTCTTCATTTGTTGTTTGACTGCAGAACCAGAGCAGGCGAACGTGACGTGCTGAAGACCAGATAACGAAGCAAACCATGATTAACAATAAATGACATACGATTCGGCTAAAAGTTACAATGATTTACACAACGTTTACCTTTGCGTCGACATTCCGTGTTTCGCCTTTTCTAAGAACGGAGGTTGGATTCATGGCGCTGGGACTGATGCCAGAATTAGCTGAAAAATCACAGTACCTTTAAAATGAAACAGTAAAGACCGTGGAGAAATGCGTGAAAGAAAAGATAGACATCTGTCTGAACTACATTAAAATCAGTGCAATTCGCAAAGCCGATGATGTTCGGCATTATGACCACGGTTAGTTTAGCTACAAACCAATAAACTACGGATCTTATTGGCTTAATAAAGTGGTGAAAATTAAAGTTCAACACAAATCTCAACATTAAGACATAAAACAGAACCCGGCGTATCAAGTAGTGACCACTGCTGAAATCAATGAAATTTAACGTTTAAAGGTCGAAGAAATATGTGAGAAGTATGTCTCACCACGATTCTCTGCCATGTCGATATACGGTCGGTGCTCAGCACTCACATTGTTACACTGCTGGGTTATATCATTGTTATACTGCACTGTGGTGCATATTATAATACAAGTTATATTATTATATCGTCAGGTATCTTGTCATGGTGGTAGGAGGACTATCTCGTTTTGAGGTTGCAGAGCTAGCACTGCCATTATTTGTATGGTTCTCGGTTCATCTCTGTGGTATATTCTCTGATATTCGATAGTCAGCCTTGTCACCTCCATTATCACTTCTTCTCGTTGTCGTCCTTCTCGCCTGCCCACCATCTTTTACTCGGGTCACCCTCGCCAGTGCCAGCAAAGTCTCGGCTCTACCCTGCTGCGCGCCATGGTTATCCATTGGGTCTTGCTCTGTCTGAAGTCGCGATGAGCATCATCTGTTTCATCTAACGTGTTCACCAAACATCCCGAGTATCGCCTATTCTTTGACATTCCTTGCAGCACAACCGCAACGGTTCATGTTGAGCGGGTGCCGTATACCTGGTTTTCGACATCTTAACATATTCTGCATTATCCATTATGTCTAATGGTAGACGTAGATTGAGGCGTCCTACGGCATCCCTCACTTGCACGACACTGGGTGCCACTAAACGACCTCAGGTCCCTTTTCCATGACACTGGCAGTTCTTTCGTCGATCCTCTTTCTTCTGTTCAGTCTCGTTACTCATGCTGATTGTGGGATAGCCTACAATGACGTGTAAGTCTATCATTTTTACGATACTGTTTGTTTCACTAGAAAGCTAGAATTCTGGCATGTGTGTAGACTAGGGGCAAGGGTTCATCACTGTGGCTAGCTTCTTCAATTGTTCACATCCGATTATAAAGACGATTGTTGCACGATTTTAAACGATGAGAAATATGGTATGGTGATTTTTGAAAGAGGACCGCTCAGTCAACATATACGTCTTCTCAACTATCGCATCGATACATGAGGGGTTGTCGATGATCTCTCCTGTCCTGGATGCAATAACTGTTCCAGCTGGAAGTGTGAGGCGCTGCTAATGCTTTTTCCAACCTCTGTTTCTTCAACCTTCTGCTATAAGCAGAACTTGCAAGCTCGAACACAACTTTTTAGCTGTATGTGCCATGTGCAGCATAAAAGATGAAAGACAAAGCTCTTGGCGCTGATCAATCACTAAGGGATGCGCCGTGCATTCAACTTCATTAGGCATCTTTAGAGGTGATTGAATAGGCAAATCTGGCCTATAACCTTGTCTCGCGGCTGCTTACCGACGTATTGAGTCGGCGCTGCTCTACTCTAAGACAAGTATGGTACCTGATTGCCGACCCAGGAAGGATGAAAAGGTTGGTGAGCCAAGGACTCGGGATCGATCCCATGTGTATTGCGGGGCACTTCTAACCACTGGGCTACACGTAAATTTCCAGGTGCAGCATACCGCTAGAAATGACGATTTATCTAGATATTGTGAATTACAGTACCTGACAAGAAATTTAAAAATCCAAAGTAAAGAAAGTCTATGATCACAGCTGGTCTTATTCTGTCACGGTTCTGGAGTTTGCTACTCGAACCCTATTCTCTTTGCCATTCTAAGAAGTCTGTTCTTAAGCAAAGCTTTTAGAGAACACTGATTAGGGAAAACCTCCAATGTACTTTGATTCTCCCTAAAGAACTTTCTCATGGTTATATAAAATTCTTTGACCTTGTCTTCGTGACCTGATGTCGAGGAGTAATACCCAAGCGTTGTGATAGACACTGGTCCACACTTTGTGTTGTGGGTTGCTCAAAAGAGCCAATGTTCGTATTTAAGCTTGTGTTGTCAAGGATTACAACGCCGCCTGCTCGTCTGCTTTCGCATCTTTCGAGGTTTCATAAACGGCGTTAGATGGCTTCTTCCTCTCTCGAACAGTGCGAGAAAATCATACCTAATCCTATGAACCTGATTCATCCTTTTTCAGGTTCTGATTAGCCCTGAGGTTTTGGTAACGTCTTTATAACGAGGCTCATTTGCTTCAACATGTTTGTTTATTGTTACTCACAGATAGCTTGCCGTCTGAAATTATATGATGGATATATTCGATAGTTCCCAGGATCGACTTTCTGTTAGCCTTGGCATTGGACTATAAATGTGTCGTTTTCTTGTTCAGCAATCACGAGGTTGTTATGCTGCCCCTTCCATACAAAAAAAAACAATACAACAGTTGCTGACGTCTTAGCGGTATCACCTTCTTCAGTGCCTGGAAAGGTGGATCGATAAGCAGTTTACTATGCCAAACTCTCCAATAACACAGACAAAAAGATGAAAATCTATATGGCAGTCACACGATCAACAGCTTCTCGAAAAACTCACCCTTTTTGCATGGCTTCCGCCGAGGAAGAACCGCTGAATAGAGTCGCATATGATTGCACCACCCCACATCAAAAATCGATACGAAGATACGGGGCTAAATCGCGTGTAGTCTCTGGGAATTCTTCCTTGCTACTCATTGTAAAATTTTTGGTATTTATCCAAAAAGCCTCGACGAGTCAGCGCGTTGGCGTTTTGGCATCCTGTGTGAGGGTAGTGACTTTTATATCAAAATCGTCTCCGCTATAGTCTTGTATCCTATGCGTTCCTAGTGGGGTACTTGGTCTCACCTTTCATTTACCATCTAGGTGTTCTTTTATGCGGATACATAAAATTCTGCTAGTTTCGCCAATATATTTGTCTCCGAAAGTACTACAAGAGATCAGGTATGTCGTACCTGAACTCATGCAGTCACCGTCCCTGCCGTAAGGGCTAATTACGCAATTTGTTGTTTCACATAGACGGCTATACAGGCGGTTACGAACTAATTGACGACGTAGAGTAGCCGGTGATATTTCAACTATCGCTACCGATTTAGACCTGCCCTTTTTGGTTTGACCATGCGCCCAGGGCTCAGTGAGGCCTAAATCCTTCCGTAGTTGGAATATTGGTGCCAGACATGCTTAGGAAGGCAACAGCACTGACTCGGTAACTCGGCATGCTGCCGAGAGAAAATTATATTGACTAGGTACGCATTTATTCAGCTTTACGCAGCTTAATGGAGCTCCATGCATGGCACATCCCTCAAGAATTGATCAATGCCAGAAGCATTTTAAGCTTATGATGAACGAATGAAACCTTATCACGTAATGATTGACACCTCTGGAGAGTTCTGGTAAAGTATCTGATAACTAAACAGGTAAAGCTTGAGCTTGCATCATTGTTATACCACTATTTGGAGTGCTTAGTGAACTAGCGGTGAGTGGTTCGCAAATCTAGTAGTGCTTCTGAACTCATTTACTTCTTCAGCATAGTGAAATAATATTAAGCTGATCAGTGATCAGTTATGACTAAGCGCAGACGCCCTAGCCACGTGAATCTACCATGTCCAGAATAACAGACGAACGTTAATTCCGTGATTCTAGCAGATTTCAGAATGTACTTCTATTAAAGCATTTAGAAAACAAATGGTGATCGAATGATGAGAAGCACAGACTGTAAAAGAAAAAATATTGTTTGAAAGAGGCGGTGTTGTTATGAAAGAGAGAAGTTACAAGTATGGCAGAACATATTAAAACCTTTTTTATAGCTAATTCTGTCTTCTTAAAAAGATTACCATGGGTAGAACACTACGCCGACGTCTTAGAACGTGAGTTATAGACATCAGCCAAAAGTAGCCGATAGAACATTCGACTCACGAAACAATAAGTGTTGAGGCTTGGCAAGTCGAAGGTATCCAGTAGTCAGAGCTCCATGTTCTTGACGACACCGAAGTTGCAGACGAATCCGTTTAGCATTATCACGGTCTCAGAATTCGATGTGAGTGTGAGTGGAACACGAAGGCTGAGGGAAAAAGAATTACTCAGCGCCTTCAACGAAACCTTTCATAATTTGCGTATCATCTCTTTGTGAAATCTTCTTGGTCTGCTGATAAGCAACTAACTAGATGGTGCATACGGACACCTGGCACTGAAACAAAACCATTAAGGAATAAAAACATACCCTGAGAGTAGAACGTTGACGGACCAAAGAAGTACATCAAAACCTGATTTCCGATATAAACTCTCACTTCACCTTTGTATGGACATTCATTATCACATCGATTAGCAGGCTTAGAAGAGTTTGTTACAAACTTTTACTTTAGCTAACATGACTCTGGGTTTTCGTAGACGTGTCATGTCTATGCAACTAGAGTGGAACTGCACCATGTTTGACTTTAGAGGAAATCACTCCTGTCGACGCTCGACTTGAATCATCATGCCGATACCTAAGCTACGATAGGGTTTCGTAACAACTTCATGTAAATGGTACAAAATATGAAAAGATGGCAGATATTTTAGTCCATGACTTGATGAAATCGATGACAGAAAGGTAACTCATAGAGTTAAAAGTGATGTTCAAAGACTTACTAGTACTGCGAGAAGATGACTGAATTTTTTGAGACCATGAAAGTATCTTCGCCATCATAATGGATTAAGAATTACGAAGGTAATCGGCATCTACTTCTATGACATATGAACTGTCACCTCCGTAGATATCGCTAAAATTAGATCTGCGAATGGGCCACCAAAATAGAAAGAAAAATTCTTTTTGGTTTGGTTATTCTCCTTCGAAGGGATAGGACCACTTGACGCTTTCAGTTAATGGCCACAGCATTTTCTTTTCATGAGAACATTTTGGACAATACATGCTTCTACTTTTAAGCTGAAAGAGCACCCTTGTGGTTAAGCCCGGGCCCTGAACTGCCCTTGTACTGTGAAAAGCTTTATTTCAATGGATGATAATGGCAAACTTCTAGTAACCGCCTGAACTAATTCAGAACAGCTCACGTCGCTTTGCCAGCTGTTCATCTTTTTTACAGGAAAACTGGTGTGAAAAATCACATTCACTGGCTTCCGAAGAATTCTGATATGTCGAACGAAAGCACGAAGTCTTTAAGGTCAAGCAGTGAAATAGAGGAGGATTCTGTAAAGGCATGGTTTGTTTCTCGAAAGAGCTTAAATGATCGTCGTTCAAACGAGCATTAAAAATAGGCTTTTTCAAAGAATTAAGTTCACTATTGGCTTTTGTCAGATATAATGGCGTTTCAGAACTGCAAATTCTCTCTAACTGATTCAGAAAAAGTATGGCTATTAGGGACGGGCTTTGGTACATTCGAGACAATCGTGAATGCCTCGTTGTGCACTACAAAGACGATCACATCTTTTACGTCTTTTCGCTGTATAACCTGGTTTTCTAAGCCCTTGCTACCAATTCTCATTATTTCTATAACTAGAGACCCTGTATGCTCTATTTCTGGGTCTGAGGTTGAAAACAGGTTTTCTCCACCACGCAACCACTGCTGTTTTTGGATACCTCTAATTCATAAGGGGAAAGAAACAATCCATTGTCGCAAATAAACAATCGATTATCTTTTCATTTCTGCTTTATATAACCAATCTCCATATTTCTTGGATTCCAATGCTTCTCTCTTATTCGCGTTGTTGTAATGCGTCCGTCATACATTTCAGAGAGCGGATAGAGCATTGGTAGTGATCTTGTTCACTATGCAGACAGATCAAAACGAAGAGGACCTGGTTGGACTCTTTCCTGACTACCAAGCATATCACGTTTCCGGGATGGAGAAATTGATACTAGACTCGTCAAGAAGAAGCTGATTGACTGCGCTCCACATGGAAACGTCCAAGACAACTATCCCAAGATTCCAGGGCGAATAGGCTCGACCAGCATTCCGTAACGTTCATAACGATGACGGCAATCCTCAACCAGCGGCTGAACCCACATGGCAAAAATTTGATGGCCTTTGTTAATAGCGCATTAGAGGTACCAAATCGAATGCAAGAAATTATGGAATATGTTGAATACTTGGATAGCGTGTATTCAATGGTTGTGAAGGCCGCAGCACAATTTCTGATCATTGTTCTTTCTTGCAGCCTTTGTCCAAGTGGTGGTCTGCTTCGAGCATAGTGACGTCCGCGGGATCCATTTCATAATCCCGAAACAGCTCTCATCTGCGAATGCAGATGATTGCAATAAGCAGAACAAGACCGCCGTTAGTTTGGGGGGTCATCAATGAGGGCGCTTGCACTCTGATACAGTCGACTCCACTGCTATTTTTGTCCGTCTGTCAAATGTTTTTATTAATGTGACCGAGCCAGTCATACTTTGCAATCCACCTATTTTCTTCTGGATTCTGAAGATGAAATAGGTTTTGAAGATCTGAGCTGCTCATTCCGGCTAGACGTTTTGAGTGCAGGTTAAATTTCGGAAGACGTCGTTGAAGCGTTTTTTGGGAGGTGCGCAGTACTCTTGATGTTGTTGAAGTATTAGCCCAAGTTTCTGATGCATAACAAAGCTGTGGGAGGACTGTTGAAAAGGGAGCGTAGAGTTTTGAACCCGTTACTTCCTCTGTGACTTTTTTCAGAAAATACCGAATGCGACCTATGCTGCTTTAATTAGTGCTTTACATTAGGCATGTTATTGACTATGTGATGACCAACATCACTACCACTGTGCTTGGTGTTCCTAAAAAACCTATTTCAGCCTTCTACACTACCGGGCGAGCTTATTTCACATGACGCGAAAGGCAAAACTCTTGAGGGATTCACGGAGCAAGAATGGGAGAAAGGTGCGTCTGCAAAGCCAGCCGCACTGCTCAATGTGGAGAAGACGCCAGTAAGTATGCCAATCCCACACGATGTCTGTATGAGTTTGTGGTTTTGTGGATTTTTGCACATTGGGGAGAAATTATTGCAAATAGATTAGAAGAGGGAATTTTGCTGAAGTGCATAGAGAATTCAAAAGCAAAAGCAAGAGGCTTTTTCTATTTGGTCAACGAGATTCTATATTACGGAGGATGTTCGTGCAGCATTCACGAAATCTGAAACAGCCAATGTTATTGACCTCTGAAGAATACAGCTGTTCAACTTTTCTTGGGCTTTCATGACATCGCGACTGTGAGAGCGATGAAAAAACGCCACGAGATGCGCTTTCAACTTCCGTTCTGCATTCTGCTTAACAACTCCTAGTGAAGGCTAGCCGCTCTACGGTCGCCGTGGAACCACCTAGGTCGCTAGACCTTAGTTCGTGAAGAGCCTGTTGCTATTGATAGAAGCGCAGAGCTTCGCGTTTGATGTTCTACCTATTAAAAGTTATTTTAGCAAACAGTACTGTAGTTTTCAATACAATTAAGTTGTTATGTTATTCTAGAATACTGTAAACGTCTTTATGGGACCAAAGGAGATAAATGAGACTATTCTAGTAGGAAAATCCATCTCTAAGGAAGTTCATTCCAAAGGTTTGTGTATTTTATAAGAAAAAGTGACCTAATGGCTTTTTTTGAAATAGTACTGCGAAGGTAAACTTTCCAAAGAGCACAGATAGGGAGTGGATAACGCAATAGTGGTTTTTCCGGTTGTTATGAGGACGTTCTATCCTAGCCAGGTCAGTCAAGCCTCTCATCTCTCCAAGGTCGAGAAAAATTCGTGCCAGAGCAGTTTGGAACAAACTAACTCTCTCATATTCATACCAGAACGCACCAGCACGGCTATCTCAAGGTTCCAGAAAGCATCGACTTAACCTGCATTCAACCACATTCGTAAAGAAAACGAAAAATTTCTCACGACAAAGCCACACGCAAGAAATTTGAAACGACCCCAATCCAGAAGGTGGCGGGATCGGCACAGTGCAATACATGTGGTATAGGGTCATGCAATAATAATATTAACAATATTCCAAAAATCGACCTTCTTCTAACCTCGGAATGACTAGTCAACATGTGCTTCGTTGATTCTGAAGCTAACACGAGTTTGATAAAGATGCTTAGTAGTATTTGGCTAACGTTCCGACGTCTTCGTCTTCTCAGAGCCGATAATTAGAGTTGTTAGGACTATCGACTCACTTATCAATGTCGGCTTAGCCAAATAATCTGAAGAGGTTTTCATTATCTCTAACGAGATTAGATGACGATTGGTTTAGAAAAATAATAGCAATAATACGTCTAAAATATAACCACAATGATGCTGAGACGAAGATTTCGGACCGCAGGTGTCTGCAATGGGAATCGAACACGTTTTTACCATCTAGTAGCTTACCATGAAAAGTTATAGGTAGCAAATAAATAGTTAGAGAATCGATTTATTAATTTGGCATGCACTCACCAATCATGAGGGCCTCAATGAAAAAAAGCTGTCTGGTTGTCCTTCGCTATCGATTTGCTTTTACCGATGATAACTTCGACCTTTGTTCTTCTATTAAACGGTCTTTCCCACTAGCGTGCGGAACGTCATCACAAGTTGGGCAACTGGCTGGAGTGGCCGAAAATGACTCGTAGATTCTATCCAACGCACAGACACACCACTGTATTTAGTCGGTGAGCATCAGTATTGTTCGTGCGGTTTAATGGCCAATCTTTACTCTTCGAGAGAATTTTTTCGTCCACGTTGTAGTAATTGTTTATTCCTTCTTTGTTTTTGTTTTTGTATGACCCGTCTTCACGTCTACCGCGCGGTTCTCAGCACTTCTCATATTCGGTTCGTTTCCTCGCAAACATCGTCCACGATGATTTTCCAACTTTTAGGTGTGGGTTCGGTTGCTGTTTGAGGTTTTTCATTCCAACTTGAACGCCCTTCCTGGAGTATTGAGATAGTTGAGCTGGAGCGTTCACAATTGGACTGCAGAGAGTGATTTTTCCCGGACAAGTCCGGTACCAATTTTCCGACATCGGAGGATGACAGGCTTGGTTGGCCCGGGTCGGAATCCAAGCAGCACCGTGCTCTTGATGACGGACGTCACTTCCACTGTGCTATCCGCCTGTGGGTTTATTCCTTACAGTGTTGAAACCATTTTTTAAGCTCATTAACTTCTTAGGTTTTTCGTCTGGCGAAAACACTCTTCGAAGCGAAGCTTGCACTCAAAGAACATTATTTGATGATTGTTCGGAGATCATGAGCTATTCACGTAAAACACGTAGAACATAATAGTGTACCAGCACTGGCAGCGGCTACCATATCAATAAGCACATCTGCGGTTGCATATTTTTGGTCAAAGTCCAGGTCACAGCGCTTTCGAAGAGTCATTGGCTGTATATACGTCACATCTTTTACTATCTCAATGGTGCTGAGATATTTGCAAAACTCCGGACCGCAGGTGTCTGCGCTAGGGAACGAACGCGCTATTACCCTTTCCGATGGCTGACGCGTTCACCACCACACCATGCGTGTCTATCGTTTTACCTGCCTCTCAGCTAGTTCTATCGATCCCTGCCGTCAGCAATCACCCGTCAACGAGATTGATTTGAGGAGCCCAAATCGGCATTGAATCCAGTTAAGCAGAGGCTATAGTTGAAATCCACAATATTGACTTTCTTATTTACTGCCTTTTACAAGTTTTCACGACAGGGTGCTATTTGCGAACCTGTCACCTGTATTTTTGCGAACCTATCAACTGTAGCCCCGCCGATCGTCGAATGACTCGAGCGGGTGCCAGTAAATCTTCCATTTTTCCCTGTCGCGTGCAAGAGTAGCCCAGTGGGTTCTGTGCGCTCTAGGAACTCGTCAAACATCATATCTGTCTTTTAGGGTTTTCGAAAAGAACTCTGACCATCGAGTCGGTGGCCTTCCTGCAGTGCGTTTGACATCCTGAGGAATCCAGTCACTAACAGCTCTTGTCCATCAGTTGTCGTTCATACGCACTACGTGTCCGACCCACCATGTCTTCGGCTCTTTGGCGCACAGAACGGCGTCTTTGATTTCTGATCGTTGACGCCGGTCGGAGCTTTGGATCCGTTCCCCTGTTTGCGTAACACGGGATACTCCTAGCATCGTCCTTTCGACTGCGCGTTCAATAACGCTGAGTGATTTTTCATCCTGCTTACGCAGCGACCAGATTTCTGACGCATACGTTAATGCAGGGAGTACCGTTGAGTCGAAAGGTCGGCACGGAGTCGGGTGTTCTTTGTCCTCTTCACTACATCCTCGTTGCTCTTGAAAGCTACCCAATCCGCTCGTTTCCTTCTGCTCAGCTCTGGAGCTAAGCCCTTCATCTTGTTGATTTCCCGAACTAGATAGACATAACTGGAGCATTCGGAGATATTCGTTCCGTTGAGCGTGAATGGCGCATGCGAAACCGATCCGTTCTTCATGAGTACCGTTTTGTGAGATTTAGTCGAATACCAATCTTTCCACTATCAAAGCCAACAAGCATTCGTTTCGCCTGTCTAATGTTTAATGTTATATGGGCGATGTCATCAGCAAAGCGAAGATGTTGCAATTGCCGACCATCGATTTTCACTCCCATATCATCCCACTCCAATGTTCGCATGACATTCTGCAGGGTGGCGGTGAATGATTTTGGCGAGATGGTATCGTCTTGCCTAACCCCTCTTTTGACGTTGATGTTAATATCGTTGTAAAATGGTGATATCTTGTTTGTGAAATTTTTGTACAGTTAACGAGGAATCTTTGTGTGCTAAGTAGGGACTCCCTGACTTTCAAGGGCTTCCATGATTGCTTCTATGTCAATTGAGTCAAAGGCCTTCTTTAATTCGATGAGAGTGAGGCAGAGCGGTCTCTTGTGCTCTCGCAATAATTCTATGACTCTTGTTATCGTGTGGATGTGGTCAATCGTAGTAAATCCCTTTCGAAACTATGCTTGCTCACATGACTGCCTTTCGTCCAGTGTTCTGTTAATCCTGTTTGGGATGACTCGAGTGAAGAGTTTGTAGACGACAGACAGCAGATTGGGCGACTTATCTGTGAAACAACCATTAATCCCCAACATCCGGAAATGGTAATATCGCGTTCGTTCCCACCGCAAACACCTGCGGTCCGGAGTTCTGCAACTATCTCAGCATCATTCTGGTTTTTTTCACAAATAATAACCTACTAAGAAAACTTGTAAAAGGCAGTAAATTAAAAAAGTCATCATCTCTCTACTATGTTGGCAAGGACGTTTCAATCTTAGTAGTTCGTCTTATATTTTGTAAAGATGAATTGAAGCATCTCAAGATAACTGCTTGAGCCATTATTGCTACATCGACCAAGCGCTTCACTGAAAAGTTGGATCCTGCCAGTTGCTGCAGTCAACGATGAAGATCATGGTGGCCGTTTTACATTCTAAATTGTAGGAAATGGTGAGCCGGACATGCAATGCGTTTGACCGAGAATCAATGGACAGGGGCCGTTAAGGACTGAATTTCGTGGTATCTAAAACGCATTTCAAGAAGATTACTGACCCGATGGTCAGAGTTCCTCAAATAAACTATAGGAGAAAGATATGATGCTCAACGGGTCCGTAGAATTCACCGGAATACTCCTGCACGCAACAGAGGGGAATGGAGTGTTTACTGGCACCTGCTGTGTTCTCTTGATGATCAACAGGACGACAGATGATACAGTTGATAAGCAAATCTTTATTTCTGAAGCTTCCTGATGCTTTCACAACCTTGTTAGCCACCGATGAAGTTGTATTCAATGTGTGAGATTATTCTCACGAGACTGTCAATTTCTTACAAATTGTATAGCGTTGCAAACGACGAAATTCTTAATTCGGACTGGTGAACGAAATCCGGTAATTCGGCTTAGGACACACGGGCGTGTCAAGTCACTTCGGAACTCTTTCATTTTACAAATTTTTTATCCACCGAAGTTTTAGTTAGAAGGAAAAGAGCCGTTGAGTGTTTCATGAGCTTTCCTTCTCGATGACAAATCCGGCTCGCTCTTCTGTTATTCCTTGAGGGGAAATTCAAACTATTCTATTGTAGAAAGTGCAGAAAAATCTGATCCAATTTCTCAACTAGTGGAACGGGTTGCACATTTGATTATGAACGGAAGGAACCATGCTCAGACAGAGGTATTCAACCACTGTTGCTCTATTTTACTATTTTGACAACTAAGCCAAGAATTTGGCATGGAAAAATGTGACCTAAAGGGCTGGCAGAACCGGTAAAAAATGATAGTACCCGTAACATTCAGGCAAGTGATTATTGAGGCCCTTATCATGACCGAGTCAGGAAAGATTCCTTTTTAATCTTGTCGTTGAGGACTGTCTCAAAATTCCGACAAAGTTTTTGAAGCCAATAAATGAGGAACTCAACTGAGTTAGGCTTATTGCCCACTCTCATTTTCATATGATTCTTGCTTGTGTCGTTTTCTTGTTCAGCAATCGCGAGGTTTTTAAACAGCATACATTTACTTCCATAAAAACACAATACAATACAACGCTAGCTGACGTTTCGGCAGTATC